CCCTCAACGTACAGCATCGTATGAGACCTGAAATTGCCGCCTTGATGAAACATATCTATGACGATCTCGAAAATCACGAGTCGGTAGAGAAATATGAAGACATCAAAGGAATCAAGAAGAACATGTTCTTCATCAACCACAGTCATTTGGAGAATCATTGTGAAGATTCCCACAGTCACGTGAATGACTACGAGGTTAAGTTTGTGGTGGCCTTGTGTCGTTATCTGTTGCAGCAAGGTTATGAAGCCCATCAAATTACCCTTTTGACAACATATACGGGACAAATGTTTGCCATCAGAGGCTGCCTTCAAAAAAAAGAAATTGAAGAGCTCAACCAAGTGCGCCTGACAACAGTCGACAACTTTCAAGGTGAAGAAAACGACGTCATTCTTCTCTCGCTCGTGCGGAGCAACAAAGATGACCAGGCTGGCTTCATCAAGATGGAAAACCGTGCATGCGTGGCGCTCTCTCGTGCTAGAAAGGGCTTTTACTGTATTGCAAACTTCACCCTTCTCTGCAAACACAGTGAAGTCTGGAGCAAGATTATTGAGGATTTGAAAGCGAGTGATAGCTTTGGCGCGTCCTTACCCCTTATCTGTCAAAGCCACAATGAAGAGATCACAGCAGAAACAGCCGAAGATTTCGAAGAGAAAGCTCCTAACGGGGGATGTCAGCGTCCTTGCGAAGTGCGCCTGGATTGCGGTCATGCCTGCAAACGATCATGTCACCCATATGATGTCGATCACTTGGAGTATCAGTGTGGAGAGCTGTGCGTTAAGAAAATCGTTGGCTGTGACCACACGTGTTCAAAGTTTTGCTGGCAGAAATGTGACACATTCTGTCAAAAGGTGGTTGAGAAGACTCTGCCTTCCTGTGGACATAAGACAACAGTGAGATGTGGCAAGGATTTGAACAAGGTCCAGTGCAAAGAACAATGCGAAAAAATTCTACCCTGTTCCCACCGCTGTCAGAGCCACTGTGGTCAACCTTGCACAAGAAACTGCCAAGAGCTCGTCAAGAGAACAGATTGGCCATGTGGACATGAAGTCAGCATTGCTTGCTCGGCAACACCGGCAGATTGCACAACCCTTTGTCAGGACGTTTTGGAATGCGGCCACCAGTGCCCTGGAACCTGTGGCCAGTGTCGCATGGGTCGAGTTCACGTGCGTTGCAAGAACAGGTACAAGCAAGTACTGGTTTGTTCTCATGAGTACACGTCATCATGCACAAAATCCTGCCCGCCATGTACGTTGCCGTGCGAAAACCGATGCAGTCATTCGGCTTGCAAAATGCGCCTTTTTGGGGAAGCGTGCAGTTATTGCACCCATAAGTGCGATTGGAATTGTCCCCATTTTAGATGTAACAAGTTATGTGGTGAATTGTGCGATCGCCCAAGATGTAATCAGCCCTGCAAAAAGTTCCTCAAGTGCGGAGGTGGGACTCATCGCTGCCGAGGCTTGTGCGGAGAGAAGTGCATTTGTGCCGTGTGTGACAAAAACAATGGCCGCTCAATCACCGAAATATTTTTCGGTGGAGAAGACGAAAAAGGTGCACGTTTCATTCAGCTTCCGGACTGCGAACATATCTTCGCAGTAGAAGATCTTGATCGGTAAGTATGGTCTACTATATTTGATTTTCTTTCACCCAACGCAGTAATTATTTGTAGACCCAACGAAGCTCAACGAAAGTAGAGCTTTATTTCGTGGAATTATGTGGTAATTAAGAGCCGCTACAAGGGCGGATTCTAAAATTCTGTAGCCTAAATATGATGAGAAGTTTTCTCAAGACAAGAGCATTTTGAATTAATTTATTGATTAGTAACGTGTGTTGCCAGAATTTTGGTGACCGACTAAAAGTGACAAAACCCACAGGTCTGATAAGGGAGGGAGGGGGCTGGTCCTGACCCCTGGACCCTCTCCCTGGATCTGCCATTGCGCCATTAGAACCAATACTGTCAGATCTTGGCCATGGGCTTTGGGAGTCTCAGTGTGTGGGGTTAGCTTAGACATGTTTTGTGGACAATTTTATCTCGTGTGAATTATGCAATGCCCTTAACAGTCTTCATTATCGTTATTTCATAGCTACATGGATACGTCCCATCTCGACGAAGAGAGCTGTGATGTGATTCAACTGAAAACCTGTCCTCTATGTAAGAGGGGGATCCGTAAGAGCCTGCGATACGGTAATATTATTAAACAGCAGTTGCTTGACATTGAAGAAGTCAAGGCCAAGGTCAACGGGAAACCGGTTGAGATTGAGGTTGCAAAGAAAGACTTGGAAACAAGTTTGAGAGCTTTGAAGCCGACACTTGAGTCGGAAGATGAAGAGAGAGACTGGGACATACTAATGAAACGTGTGA